GTCAATACAGTGAATTCCAGTTTTAAACCGGCTCTGCTTGGTGAGATTTGGGTTGCAAAGTTTCCTAGCTAAACCCACAGGTCCTCCAAACTTGCAAAACCAATCGCAGCCATCAGTGGCTTTGATCCCTCCAGGTGATGCAGGGGCCTCGGTCTGTACTGTACCATGCACGTGTGTACATTTTGGATGTGTTACCTACAGCCCAGGTAACAGATGGAATAGATGCTGAATAGATGGAATAGATGCTGAAAAACGTGACCTTCAACCACATTACTGCGTCCTATCCAGCAGGTTTGACACGCTTAGATGTACAAACAAGTAGCTAAATCTAAGGGAATTAGATGAAATTGGGAGTTTAGCTCAGATGTTTTTCACACTTACCAGGAACGCCACAGGACGTGGGACACTTCAGGCCCAGGAAGAGAGAAGGCTGAATTTGCAGGCTGGGAATTGAGAGAACCCTGCAGGGCTAGCCCGAGGGGGCTTCCTTTCCTTCACAGTACGCCTAAAAGTGACTTTCAAACACGGTATGAGATAGAAAAGTACCTCACTGCCCTACAGATGGGGAATAGCGAGACCACAGGCTGACTTTCAGAGATGCTGCTGCAATTCAGCCTATCGGTGGGAGACAGAGGGCTGTGCCCAGGGAGAAGCTGACTGCAAGGACTCAAGTCAGGAATTGCCCAGCACCTTAAAAAAAATAATAAAAATCTCTCCTGCATGACTCTGCCACAGTCACACGCTTGTTGCAGAGCAGAAAAACTAAACCCAAGCCTTGTCAAAGGGTTTAAGCCTTGTCTTGGGACCAGAAACCCAAGACTCAACACCCTTCTCCCTCCAGCACAGCAGAGGGGCCGGCGGGCACAGGCAGGGATGCTCAGCTCCCTCGCTGCCTCCAGCGGAGCAGAAACACCCATCCACACGGCATCTATTATGCACAAGTCAAAAACACAACAACGAGTGAAACCACGTTAACATCTCTGCATTATTTAAAATGCTCCAGTCACAGGCTGTGCGTAACAGCACCGCAATCTCCCACACCATCCTAGTACAGCACCAGTCCCATCTTTGTTTCCTAAGGGCCTTTCCAGGCACATCAATCCCTTCTGCTATCTCAGATCCTGCTGCATCACCACTATCGCATTAACGATATGCTTATCTCATTCCACCTGAGGATATTGTATTAAAAAAAAAAATCCCTTTAGGAGTCATCATCCTCCTGCACAAGTAAAGTATTATTTCAGAAGGGAATGAGAACGCAGCCCCGGTGATGCAATCGTTATGCAATTACTGGGTGTGATGTAACGGGAGGGAGAAAAGCTCCCTCCTCCAGGCTGCACGAGAAGTTCAAGCAAGTGTTCAGGGCTCCATTCCTGCTTGTGCTTTGCAAGAGCAGTAACTGGGCGAGGTTTTCTTACCCCTTGCCTTGTTGCCCAGCCCCTGGGGTCTCACTGCACACCATGCCAAGGGAGAGGCACCCAGCCAGCCAGTGCCTGCTCCCACCTTGTGCACATGCTGCTGAGGGGGCTCCGGGTCCATCCAGGGCACCCTTTGCATGGCACAGTCTGGGGAAAACAGACTTTTCCATATCCCTTTAAAAGCTGCTCCCCAGCAGCCAGCAATCTGGAGCCCACACCCAAAGGAGCTGCTGGATGGTGCGTGCTGGGGCTCACCCTGCCTGGGAGCAGGACTGCATGGCCCCAAAGGCAGCACCCGTCAGCGGGATAACGGCACAGAGCAGGGGTTTGGCTGAGCCTCAAAGCCAACAGAGGGGCTCTGGCTGCAGCCCCTCTGCTCCCAGATGGCCAGAGCAACACGAGGATGATGTGCTTTGCTTTCCAGGCCTGGGATTGATAAACTGCACTCACAGCGCCACGCCAACGCCTGTGACAAGCAGCAGCGCTCAGACAGCCTGTCAGGGGAAACACGCCCTCTCCTAATTCATCCCGTAGACAGCAGACAAGCAGAGGTCAAAAAGAAGCACAGCTTACACTGCACTGAACCACTGTGGGAAAGTTCATTATTGCCCCCAGATTCGTTTGCAAAGCTTGCTCAGCCTGGGTGCAAAGCCTGCAGCTGGCAGGAGCTACCAGAGCACTGCTCAAGGGAGGAAAGCAAATGCATCCATCCCAAGGTGTGCGCAGTGTGCTGCATGGCTGGGGATGTTATAATGCCAGCATGTCCAGGGAAACACCAGCCAATGTCTTCCTTTTACTTACAGCTTATCCACAAACAGAATATACGGCCTATTTTGTTCTTCGGGAACAGGTGACGGAAACATCAATCGAGTTATTGAGATAAGGATTCAAGTTTTACTTCTCATTAACTCTGATGAGACAAGAGTCAGACCACAGTAATTTCACTCATTAGCCCAACAGTTGTACCCAGCCCGTGTCAGCGTGTCTTCATGGGGTAGCAAACGAACACTGACGGGCTCAAGCAGAACATCACGCTGCAAATCAATGCCATTTTCAGGTGTTGTGGGCCAGTGCCACGAAGGGCAAAGTGTGGGCTCTGTGCTGCAAGTACCGCTGTATGCTCAGGCTGAGAGGTGTTTGCAAACCCACCTGGAAAGGGAGCTCGCTGCTGATTTGCAGGACAGGCTGACGGGCTGGCAGAGGTGCTTACAAAAGAGTGCTTGTCACACAGATAAGGCAAATGAAAATTTATGAAAATTCAAAGCCGGTGGGGAGACAGAGAGAAGCTGGAAGGAAGGCAGACAGAAGCAATTCCCAGTCCTGACACAGCCACAGCAAACACAGTGCAAAACCTGGACCCATTCCTCTGCTCCTGACCAAAGCACAGAGCAGCTGCTGGTGCTCTCCTACGGCTGTGGCTGCAGATCTCAGAGGTCCTTGTGCTCACAGCAAGGGATGAGCATCGTGGAGACCTGCTGCAGGTAGCAGCAGGCTCCAGATTTTGCTGGATGCAAAGCCAGACACAAAGATATCATCAGCTTTTTCGCACAAGCTTAGCTGAATAGCAGAGCACAGTGGCCTTATCAGGGGGAAGGGGATCTTACAACACGAGGATCTTCCCCAGATGGGTATAGTTGGCCCAGACGACATAGCCACAGGTAGCACTGAAATAAGGGTCCCCATGGCACAGCGTGCAGTTTCCCTGGGTGCTCACTGCTCCTGCATTTGCTTTTATTCCACCAAAGCCCCAGCTCTCCCCAGGCTGAACAGCTGTGTAAACCTGCCTGGCCTCCAAAAAGGCTCCGCGTGAGGTTTTGAAGGACTTTTCTCCCTTGTGATGCACACAGAGAACAGGATGAGGTCTGAGCCATGTGAGGGGAGCGAGGCCCTGGGGCCCCCATCCCAAAAAATGCCTCCTCCCAAAAAACGCCTCCTCCATCCGCTGGCACTGCCTCCCCTGCAGCCCTATGGAGAGCAAGGGGGAGGTGTGCTGAGCCCTGCCTCGTGCAAAGAGCTTCCCCTTCTGCATAGCTAATCCTGCTAGCCAGGTACTGAAAACAGAGCAACTTCCGTGCTAATACTCACTCCCAACAGAAATTATGTCACTCTCCAGAAGCTTAAATTACAGGTTTGCTGCCTCTGAGCATTAGAAAAGCCCCAGAATTAAATCCTGTGCTACCAGAGTACAACCAGGACCTACGGCAGGGAACGTGTTGCTTGATGCAACAGGGCAACCTGTGGGGAGCAGCCAGTACAAATTGCCACTGGGTTCAGGGTGGCAGCCAGAAAGGCTTTCATAAGCAGAGATCACCTACAGAGCAGCGCGGCAATGATTAAACACTGGTTTCTGCATCCCTGGGAACCATAAAGCGAGAGGGTAGGATCACACGGGCTCACACAAAACCGCCCGAGTTCCTTAGCTGAGCGTAGGTCAAGGGAGGATGAGAGAGCGAGGCCTCGGGTGGCTATCAGGTAAAAGGAAACAACAACTGCAGAACTGACTCAGCCCTCAATCGACGCTTTGGGTTTTAAAGAAGTCCTCCATCATGGGATGGAGGCACGAAATCTGGTTTGTAAACAGGATTTATGAGGACTGATGCAGTTCTCGCTGCCGCCTTTGCCACGAAGATGCCTTAGTCAGGGATGTTTATTATCCTCTCCCCACTCTGCCATAAAGGACTGCCATGAAGAAGAACAAATACAAGATAATGAAGCTCTTCACAGGATAAAAAACAAATCCAAAACAATTCTGTATCTCTTGAAAAAAAAATTGGGAATGTCTAGACAGAAGGAAGACAGAATTGGTCTCAAATGTATTAATTCCAAAAAGAAGCTGTACCCCTTAATTCAGGGGAAGAGACTGAAGTCTGCTCCTCCTCAGAAGACTTTCTCCAGCATTACCTCACGCTCCTCATGCCTCCGGCATCCTTTATCCCGCCTGTGATATTTATAACCGAGAGCAGGGGACTGAGATTTGGGTCATGGCCAGAGCTGCGGGCATTGCAAGGTGCCCCAGCTCAGTGCTCCTGGGGAACTGGGCCTCACTGGGGGAATGAAGAAAGGAATGGGAGAGGTTTTCATCAGTCTGGGAGCTCTGCAAACAGAGCAGACCTGAGGCGGTGGAGATTTGGGATGCTCTCTGCTTTGAGAAGTGACAAGCCATGGGAAACAGAGGTGCCGGCCTGCAGGCCCTCTCTGCTTCCCCTCTCCCCTAAATAAGCAAGTTAGCGTAAGACTTTCACTCTCAGGGCATCTGGGCTTCAAACCCATCTCGATAACTCTATGGGATTTCAGGAAAGAAAACTTCATAAAGACTGTCTGAAATAGCTACAGAGAACCTGAGGCAGCCAGAGAAAAACACAAGAGAAGGAAGCTCGCTTGGGTAGCCAGAACAGAATCGACAGTGCACAAAAATCCCTCTGTGAACCCAAACCCTCTTCTCCTTGATGGACCTTGGGGAAGTTTTCTCAAAAACCACCGGGTCAGGCCCAGGGTTCCCAGTCTGTAACAGCAGTATTTTCCAGCAGCAACTGCCCCAAGCAGCCCCCTTCCATGCCCACCCAGCCTAGGGGAGGCCCTTACCTGACAAGCGTTGTAGAGCAGCTGATGCTCGAACTTCTTGATCCCCAGAATGTTCTGGAACATCTCGTAGAGCTGCTCCTTGCTGAGGATGAGCTCGGAGGCCGCGCTCGCCGTCATCCTGGCCTGCTGCTTGCGGGGATCCTCCTCGCCACGGTAAATGGCGTCGAACTTGGCCATCCAGGAGCTGAGCACCGTCTCCTTGCTGAGGCCGTCGATTTCGGGCAGGCTGCGCACCCTCTTCTCGATGTGCTTCTTGAAGACCTCTCGGGAGTCGTTCGCCGAGCACCCGCCGCTCTGCACCATCCTCGCCACGCGGTCACTTTTCAAGAAGACCTGCAGCAAAAGGGGTGACTTGAAATGGTGTCGCTTAAAAAAATAAATCCCCCTCCTCACTCCAGAAGCAGCAAAAATTGGGTTTCGCTGCCGGGAAAAGCGCTACCTCATCACCAGGGCGCTTTCCCACTCAGCAACCAGATGTTGCCAGGCTGACAGAGGCTTCATCCGCACTTTGGGAAGCGTAATGAAATCAGGTGAAGCTTCTGCTTTGTGTCTGCTAAAATGGACACGCTGTGATGCAATTAAGACTTCGCACAACGTTACGGTCACACTTTGCCAGATACATAAATGCCCTTTGGGAAAGCAGGATTATATTTTGTTCTAGCAAATGTTTTAATAAGAAAGTTACCGTATAACAACATCCACCTGGCCAAATGCTGCCCTGTCACAGGGAGCCCCGTCAGCCTACTCAAGCTAACAGCATCGCATTGATCCACAGTGCCAGGCACAGGAGAGACCTCTGACATAAGGACCAGATTTCTATTTAACAACTCAACTGGAGGAGATCTTTGCAGACCGCCCGGCTGTTACAAGATGAGAGGAATAAATTAATTAGTCTAGTGTCAATGTTACCTTCAGTTAAATAATGTGCCCAAAGCTTCTCTCATTCCCTGGTCCTTCCAAGCCAGGCAATCAGCACTGGAAGAGCACCAACAAACCCCCAGAAGGACAGGGATGAACTGCCCGGTCTCTGCACGCTGCAGGTGAACATCAAGACAACTCAGATCATCACAAGGCACACAGCATGTGGCATGGCCACAGGTGGAGGAGGCCAAATCCATCCCAGCGCTGCTGAAGCAGCACAGGATGGGTCAGGGCAGCTGCAGGCTCCCTGGGGAGGCTGTGCAGAGGGAACTGCCTGCCAGGCACAGGATGCTGACAGCAGGAGGCAGGGAGAAGGCATGCGATGGAGGTGCTCTTTCTGCTGTGAGAACAGCAGAAGGGTCGAGACATAAAAGGGCCCTGCAGAGCAGGTGATCCCACGGGAACAACGGAGAGCCAAAGGATGAGAGAGGGACAGGGGGATATTGTGTTGGCTTTCCTCTCCCAAGCCCTGAACAGAGAAGAGCAATCAATGCCTAGCAAGAAGCGCTGTTTTATTAATGATGCTGAGAACTGATGAATGCGGCTGGCTGGAAGAAGCTGTGCCAGCACAGGGGTGGATCTGTCGGCTCTCAATAATTAAAGAGTTCAAGGATGACCTAAGGACATGGTAGATTTTTACACCACTCAGCAACATGGCACTCCGTGTTCCCGGATGCTTTCTGGGAACTTATTTAAGACCAACAATCCTATGTTTACCCCTCGATAGGAGACTTAACTGGGGAACATGGCCATGCAAACATGTTCAGGGCAAGAGCTTCAAACACAGCCCTGACCCAGCAGGTCATCTTTACCTTTTTCTTTCTCCAACAAAAAAATTAATTCCCTAGGCAATATTTGAAGAGAAGAGATCCTATCCTGCACTGATATCCTGAACAGAGATGTTCAGTTTCAGCTGAGGAAAAAAAAAACAAAACCAAGTTCTAGTATTTTCCAAGCCCGAGGCTCATCATGCAGCTTCATAAGTCTGTACCTAAACACAGATTTCTAGATAGCATCCATCGAAGGGACAGGTACTTGCACAGAGCTCTGGTGCTGAGGAAGACATACGCAGCCATGCTACAACTGCACGCAAGCTGGAAGTAAACTGTTGTAAATGAAAGGAAACTGAGAGTTAAAAAGAAGTAAAAGTTGCACTAGGGGACAGAGCGATGCATCATGCTTTCTGTGGCCTGCATTAAGTAGGACAATGCCAGTGAAGTGTCCTGCTGAAAAGGGACAGTTTGCAGACATCTAGTTCTGATCAGCTGTTCTTTCTAAGTTTGATTACTTGATGTAATTACATAGCATAGGACTTCTGGAGCTGGTCAGGACATGCTTTTAGCCAGGGCCACCAGGGAAATGGAACGTATTTTGTCTGTTTTTAAGCAGTTTCATTTTCCTGCCCAATAACCTTATCTAAACAGATTATGCTGCTCTTATATCCTAAAGTGCAGCTCACGCCATCTTGAAAACTTTCTCTAAGAGCATCTGCTCAGCGAAGCCGTGATAAAATGATGATCCCTTGGCAATTTCTTTTCTGATAAGAGATGTAAATTACTCGCAGCTTCCTTCCTGTACAGAGAATGATGGAGCAGTAACTATTAGGCCAGTTTAATAGAGTTAATCCAGGGATAATTTGTGCTTTCCTAACACAGAAGCAGCTGTTACCATTTTTTGTTGTTGTTTTAGAGTTAAAATTCTCTTCAGTTTCAGTATCTGATTTTGGCTCTCTCTTAGATCCCACTTCCACTGGAAATATTTTATGGAGACAATTCAAAATCTTCACCTTTTATGACAGAATAGCTCTAGGGAGAAAGAAAAATGGTTTGCAGAAAGGCTAGCAAAAAAAATAATAAGCAGTGCTTCTCATACAAATTACAAGCACTGATTTCCTTCAAAAACAGAAGCTCTTTCCTTCTGAGAAAAGATCTGAAAGGCAGCATTAAGGGCTGCATACAAAGAGGTGAAAAAAGACAGACAGACATAATTATTCTTTTGCACAATTATGAAGGATGTTTCACATTATTTGGTGCCATCTAGTTTCTGTAGATGTACATCCCTGTTTCTCCCCCTTTGCTTTAGAGCACTTGTACGTGCATGCAAAGACTTAACAAAAAGAAAAGACTTTTGCTGAAAATCTCAAAATCTATTTGACACAACACAAAAGCTTCAGCAAGAACTGAATATGCTGCCCATTTTTAATTGGTGTTTTTCATAGAGAGCACACGACGTTTATTTCATATTGCGCTATCTTTCCTGTTTTTAAGTAGGCTGTTTAAAACATCAGGAAGGTATTTTTCAGCTTAAAAGGACGATCTTCTCCATAGACAAGCTATGACAAGCTACAACACAGAGAATGGGGTTGCCACTGTTGCCTTATGGATGACGCATCTCCAAATGCTCAACCTTACAAACCTTGTGATGTATCAGACATCAAACAGGAGAAGCCTTGCACTTGCCTTTTGTTTGTGCTTTGTTGACAAAGAATCCATCAGTTCAACATTTGACCCAGTCTGTGGGTAGAGGCGAGACCAGTGATTCACATGCATAGTGAAATCATCTCTCCTTACCTCATAGTAGCTCTGGACAGCGTTTATAAAGGCTTCATCTGCCACAATCTGGGTTTCTCCGTTGAGAAAGGCCTGGAAACGATCTTTGATCGTCTGGAGCTGCTGCTTACTTATCTGCAAAACATGCCAAAAGGACAAAATTAGTCAAGAAAGGTTTATGTATGAGGAAAGAACAAATGAGTTCTTCAACAATATCTTATCAGCATGCTTATGGTGCGCATTTTTGCTCTCCTTTGAGGAGAGCAGCGACAAGTGAGGAATCATCCGTGTGTCCATACACCTGTGTACTCTTCGTCTTGTTCATTTAAGAATCATGAGCACCAAAATCGTCCTGAACATCATTTCTAAACAACTCTGCCACCACAAAATGCATACAAGTTACTACTTCAGTACTCTGAAGTCAAAAGCAGACCATTGTGTGTGTGCTTGGAAAAGCGTAAATATTTCACTGCAGTATTTTCCCCAGTTACCATCTCCTCCCCTTTCAGGAGATGAGGTTTAATCTCTGACCTGAAAGCCCTGCAATTTGGCTGCAAAAGACAGCACTCATCAGCACTCTGGGGTCTTGGCCTTTACTCTTGTGTTTTTTTTGTTTGCTCATTTCTACTGGCTTGTCATGTAGGAAACCCCCTTCAAAACCAACGGTGAAAGAATTTAATGCCATTTAGTGCCAATTCAAGGGCAAACCTGCTCTCCTTATCCAAGCGAGGACTTTCTTTACTGCTCAGAACAGTTTCTGTCCAGCACGCAGCTGGTACAACTCACAAGACAGTTCTAATTTTGGCACAACGACACCAACAGAAGGTTTACAGAGGTTTTTTTTCAGCCTTATAAGATAACATGCTATTATTTTGCCAATTTATCTGCTGGTTTAAAAACAGATACAGTAAAAAAAAAAAAAAAAGAAAAAGGAAAAAAAAAAGGCTTTTTTAGCTTGTTGCACACAAAGCCACAGCAGGTATGTAAGCCATGTACCAGCACTCCCAGCACAACCTCTTGAGATGCAGCTAACGCTCGTGCTGAAGGGCTGCAGGGATTTAGCTGTAGTTGCATCAGCTTTACTACATGGCTACTTCAGGCTTGACAATAAGAATCAACTTAGACAAAAGAGAAGGAACCAAACAAGATGTATATGTGACAACTTCAAACTGAAAGGGAAAAGAGCACAGCTGAAGTCAGAACAATTATTGACTAATGACCAAAAGGTGTAGAAAAGGGTAAAAGGAGTGTTTTTTTCCTCACTCGTATGCCAGCAGAAGAAACAAGCCCATTAAAATGAAGAAAAAAAAATAATAATGGCTTTAATTGTCCAAATGGCTTTGAATAAAGTATTAAAAACTACAGAGCTCTAAATGACTAGAGCATAATGAAGCCTGGTAAACACCACTAGTGATGAAAAGCAGGAGAGGGACCACTTGGCAAACGCACCGATAAATAGCACTAGATCGAGACGATGCGCCATGCGGGGCATTTAGGGACCGTGGCAACGAACACCACGCATGCTGATAATTAATTCTGCAACCCCACGCTGAGGAGGGTTAGTGAGCAATGGCAATTTGATGCGATAATCTGGGATTAGTTCATCCTGGCACTTATGGAGAGGTGTTCATCAAAGTGACATAAAGCAAGACTCAGTATGCTCTGCTGCAGAAAACACGGAACAGCCTTTGCTGCCCTGTAGGAGCTGGTACTAAGGGTCATTCCTACCCGCAAAACAGCAGCCCAGGAAGCACCTGGACTAAATAGGGTCTGACACACGCAATGAGGCTCAGCAGCACTAGGGCTTGGGCAAGCATCCTCTCTCTAAACCAACCCACCTCGGTCTTGGTCACTGGTCTGCAACAAGCTCTGCAGAAAAGCACTGCCAAAAGCCTCTGGCTTTAAGGCTGGCAGGATTTAATTTTTATATATAAGAGCATACCTGCCATGTCAGGCACTGAAAACCCTTTGTGGTATTGCCAGGAGCACGATAGACACCATGAGCTCTTGAGCAATGCACGTGGCGTCAGATGTAAAACAGGCTCCAAATCCATCTGAGCTGATGGAATTGAAAAGAAAATCGGGCCAGCAATAAGACAAGCCATAAACAATGTAGTGATCAAGTGGGAGATACCTGTGGGAAGGAGTTAGGTCTGTTTTTATTAAGCATTTAATTATCTGGAAGAGGAGAAAATCAGAATGTTAATTAAATGTATTGACGATATTGCATTAGCAACCCTTGTGAATGTCAAGCAGGAACGATGAAAGAAAAGAGGCCGTAAGAAACTAAGAAAAATAGGAAAAGTGCAGGTAACATTGAAGTCAGTGTATTGAGGCACAAGGGAAGATGTACTAAGACCAAAGATTTCCTGAGCTAAGACTTTTCATAAGAGATTTTTTGACGATGTGCTTGACATTTTTATTATTTTTTTCCAGGTTATTTCTCAGGACAACCTCCACAAGACCTTGCGTGTTCAGTTTCCATAATAATATGCAGCAGCAATACTTTCTGCTCCTTCCTCAGTATTGAATGGGTACCTTCAAAACAAATGATGCTTCTTGAAATTCCTAGAAGCTCCCAATACTCATCTCGCACATCAACTCCCGGGGGTGGGGAAATGAATCACCGGGTTTTTCTCTATCAGTGTCATTTGCCTCCTCCTCATCCCAAGCTCTAGGCAGATATTTTCCACATCCGTGGCAAAGAAAAGCCTCTCTGAGCACACCTTGCGTGCAGCATGGACCGGTCCATTGCTAACAGGACCCTCGGATGTCCATCCCCGCCAGACTCTGAAACAGCACTTGTGTATCGATCTGTGTCCCGTCACTGTTAGGGATGTTAGCGAGAAAGTCAATTCCAGCCAGAATTAAATTGCTTTCATGCTAAATTTAGTTTCTGCAGCACTTTCTGTTGCAGAAAGTCAGCACAGGAGTGGATGGGGGTAAGACCTGCAGGAAAATAAGCCCTGTCTGACGTGTTCCACATTCAACTTTCTGCCCACGCTCCCCCAATCCTCCTGTGTGGGCTGGCAGATTCCCTGTGCAAGAGTCGGTGGAAACCCTTGAACAGCCTTCCGGAGGTGCCACACGCCAGTGCCACCTGCTTGGACCATGCATCTGGTGCTGGGGGAGCTGCTCCGCGGCTGGAGGCTCCCCTGCACTGGCACAGCCCCAGCACCACACCTCAAAGCCCTCGAGCAGGGCATTCAGGCACAAGCTGTGCCACCAACCCATCTGCAGACTTACAAGGGCACGTCCCTTGAACACTCACCTTGAGGCTGAAGCGCTTTTAATTCTTTATTATTTTAATTCTTACTATTAGAGGCCAAAGACCAGTTAGAAATCCATATACCAGAAGCCAACAGCTTCCACAGATCCAGTAAGACCACGAAGGGGCCAGCACGAAGCCCTTCTCACCTGGCTACCTTCCGTACCATGCTTGCAAATAGCAGAAAGCAACAGAACGACATCTTCATTGAAGAACAGCAAGACAACATCATAGCCACCTGCACCACCTGAGCCACGAGGTCAAACACTGCTTGGTTATAGCCTTAACATGTGTGAGGGCAGAGCCTCCCTGCAGCTGAAACAAATACAAACCCACGTGCCTTCACCCAGGAGAGACAGAGCCAGCAGTAAGCAGGAGCGCTGTAGTGGCCAGCAGAGATTTATTCTGATCACCCTCCCTCTTTTCCAGCCCTCACTGCTTTCCCCACACATTTGCAGTCTGCGACAGCCATCGAAGAAGAAATAGCAGTCGTTTCTGCATGACAGGAATTGCAGGATGCCCTGCTTGCATAGATTGACTCGGACCCAAGCGAACTCCCCCAGGTTACTGCTGCAGCGTGGTTATGCAGTACAGGATCTCACAGCCTTTATCTGTCTGAAGCACATGAGTACTTAGGTTGCCAGCCACACACGTGCGTATTAAAAATGCAACGAGTTGAGACAGTGATGATGAACTCCTGGCGCTGCTATCCGGCAGGGCACCCACAGAGCTCTGGCATCAGCAGGTAAATGCAGGGCTCTTATGAAAACACTTGGCTGAGATGTTCCCTGTAACAGTATCTGTTCTTGGGAAGATCTCATCAGAGACCAGATGATCGGAGCACCCAAATGCTTCTGACTGTCTTGGTCTGACTTTAAAGAAAGAGACACCATGTGCCCAGCACAACCCGGTGACCTCAGACACAGGGTGGAACAAATCTGGCACGTGCCATGTCCCTACCGTGGTCTTAAGCAAATCACAGACAACTTCTTGAATTTGCTTGGTGCAGACCTCAGCAAATGGCACACCAGCCTCCTCAGGACAAGCAGCGAGCAGCAGCTTGCTTTCTCCGTGTTATTTTTGCACATACTCCATCTGCCTCAGAGCTGAGCACAAACCTGAACACGGGGAGCCAGGGCACCTTCTCCAGAGCTGTTCCAGCCAGCGAACAGCTGGCATTCAGCACCACGCGTTGTCTCCAGCCTCCTTCGCCTACACCGTGGGAGCACAAGCGTTGCAAAGAGGAGCTGTTTGCAACAGAAAAGTTCCCTGACAAGGAAGTTGCACATGGCAACATGTCCTGTGAATGCACACCCTCCCCAAAAAGCTTTGCTGTCTGAGCGCACAGCAGGACAGCTCACCAAAGGTCTACAACACACCGTAACACATTGCACCTGGATTTGGGGTTTGAACCTCACACTGTGTCAAGGATGGGTGTGAATCAGTCTGAGAGCTGCACGCCTTTGTGCTTTGAAAAGCCTCTGCACTACAACAAGCTCTGCAGATTTTCAGTTTTTTAAAGTGGATTCTCAAATCTGCATGTGCACAGAAACAGTGACTTGCACTCACGGGACAGTTGTCTTGCCAGGCTCTGCATGATAAACAGTATAAAGCATCCAAGAACCACAGGCAGCACGCCTTGAAAGCTGATGTAAAGGAGGGTTTGATAAGGCTTCATAAAAATCCAGCAGAACTGTATGCTGTGAGCTAGGCACCCACCTGATGAACTCGATGATGGCTTTGTACAAGCGCCTCTGAAACGAGTGTGCCACAGCCCCTGCTGCACAGCAAGGAGCCACAGCTCACCACAGCACACTGCTGGCTGGGGTAAGCATCAAACCACACAACACAGCTCCTTGCTAGTGTC